AAAGTGGAAATGAAAGCAGACAACAGAACATTGCTAGAGAGCAGGAAAGGAGGTGAAAGGAGACAATTTTAGAGAAGAAAATTTTTCGGTCGCTACCCACATTCGAACCCAGGACTTTTTAATGAGAGGCCAACACCTTAACCTCTAGGCCACGAGAGCCCCCGTTAAGAGTTTTACGACACTTTGGACACAAATAGGTCGTGTAAATGCAGAAGAATTAAAAATGCTACTAGACTTATGTTCAGTTTTACTCCGAGTTTTCCAGAACATGCAACAGAAATAGGTTGTACTGGTGCTGAAGATTAGAGGTGCTTCTAGAGTTTCATTTCGTTTTAGCAAGAGTTTTAATTTTATGGCACTTGCAACACAAATTGGTCATAAAAGATCCAAATATTAGAATATTATTAGAGAATAGTATACAAAGAAAAGGACAAGGAAGATAGATGTTTGACAGGAAAGAAGGTGCAAACCAAACCAAAGCACCTGCCAACCACCCTCATAGGGTCATTAATTGTAAGTGTTTTATACCCTCAAAAACGCAATTTAGATTATCATTCAGTTTGGGGGGATGCTGCTGTTACCTGCCTATCCTGACCAAAGTGGATTGAGTGGGGCACAAAATCGTAGTTGACAGACAGAGATACATGACAAAAAAACTTCCTAGTTTGTAATCAAACTCTCGTCTTCTGCGTACAACAGTGTAGAACCTGACTGCTACACCACAGGCACAGGTAAACTTAGCTGTGATCATGAGAACTTCTCTTGCTTTCGCACACGTATACATGCAGGCACGCACTCACCCATGCAGGCACGCACACATGCAGGCATGCACGCACACCTGCATGCACACACGCATACATGCAGGCACGCACGAATACATGCAGGCACGCACGCACACATGCACGCACGCGCACATGCATGCACAACTCCACCTCTCACTTCTCTACTTTTTATTCTACAAAAGAGCAACACACCACAATCCCCGCTTAAAAACACCATGTACCCCCTGACAACTTCAACTGCAGAATCCTGATCCCTTCAGTAAGCTAAACTATCACTAAAAACACGTCACTGACACACACACACACACACACACACACACACACACACACACACACACACACACACACACAGCATTCGTCCTTCACCTCGTTGCTGAAAGTGATGAGTGCGACGCGACGGTGCGGGAAAGTCTGCCACATTTCTCCCAGCTGGTGGTCCACGGCAGCCTGCATGGCCTGTAGCCGCGACACGTAGGTCACGTCACGCATGCGTTGTGACGGCAGCCACTGGGCCTCCCTCGTCTCGTTGAATGACTGCAGTCGCTTCAGCTGTGCCGTGCCGCGCAGCTTGACCTTCCCGTTGATCTGTGGTTTGCACGAAGGAAGGAAGGAAGGAAGGAAGGAGGAGGGGAGGGAGGAAGGAAGGAAGGAGGAGGGGAGGAGAAAATAAATTTTTATTTAAAAATAGCTGGGTACCCGTTCGATGAACGGACTTAAATGAATCGATCGTCAAGTCATTGTTGGACCAATCCTCACTCCTTGTGAACAGAAGCCTCACTTGTTTTACAATGGCGTCCAAGAAGACGGACGATCCCAAGATAAGATCTAAACAAAACTAAAGAAAAACTGAAAATTAAACTGCATTGACTTCAGACTCCTTAATATAACTGTGCACCCTTTAAATGATTCTGAACCACCTTTAAACTAATTTTTTCAAATTCAAAAGTGAAGTGGTTCGGAAGTTTTAGGCGACCAAAGTGACGAACTTTCACAAATATACTATATATAAATGAACTATCAATTCCTGATTGTAGTTCCCACACATTCGTATACATTTACTCGCTAACCGAGTCACTCTCTCTGTCTCTCCTTCCCTCTATCCACCTCTCTCTCTCTCTAACATACACACACACACACTCACATGACATATACACAAATACACACACATTCACTCAAACACACAAAAAATAAAGACATTCAAAACTACACAGGTAAATACAGCTGAACCTGTCCAAGACAAACTACCCATTCTCGAGGAGAACAATGGTCTCATCTTACGCAGGGTTGAAGCCCACCTCCTAAATGATCCAAATGTGTCGATGTTTGTTTGTTTGTTTGAATAAAGAGAAACACAAAGACACACTAATGGCCTTTTAGTGTAGAGGAAAGAGTAAGACACAGTCTGTTTGAGACACACTAATGGCCTTTTGGTGTAGAGGAAAGAGTAAGACACAGTCTGTTTGAGAAGGTGTTTTACGGCATTATTGACTCCGATTAAATGTGTCAATAGGGACGTACAAAAAGCACCTACATTTGTTTGTTTTTTGAGTAGGTGTTTTACGGCATTATTGACTCAGATAAAATGTGCCGATAGGGGCATTTAAAAAACACCTACATTCATTTTTTAAAAACCAAAAAAACCAAAACACACTGACCTCTGTGGTGACGCACATACTGCCAGAGGTGTCCACACAGAAAATGACCAGCGACTGGTCCAGGCCAGACATGGAGCTGTGGGACGTGGTCATGGCCGGACGCAGCAAGTAGGTCACATCCTCCACCTTGGGGACTTCCTCTTCCTCTACATCCACAACGTTCGCCTCGTCGCAGAACTCGCACACCCAGGTCTACAGAGAGAAATCATTCCCATCAACTTTCAATTTAGATTTAGTAAAAGTTTTACGGCACTTGCAACACAATAAGGTCAAAGAGGTGCCGAAGAAAAGATGTGCTACAAGAGAGCAACAAACACGAAAAAGGAGGAGAGAGAAGGACGATAATTTTTGATAGGATGGAAGAAGCAAACCATACCAGAGCACCCTTCAACCACCCACATCAATTTTCATGTGTGTGGAAACTTCAGAACTAACAACAACAACAACAAAATTCCTTTCTGTTTTATTTCTGCTCAATGGTTTAACCAAATGTTCGCAGCGTGAGATAGAACAATCACCACTGAAAAAAAAAAAATACCGAAAAGATTGTTAGAGTTAAATAAATCAAAGTCTTTGTGAATCTCCTTACCTAGCTATCTATCAAAGCATCAGCCACTATAATGCCATATAGTAGAGTGTAGAAATCAAACTAAGTCAATAACAATTATATTTGGAATAACCGGAAATTTCAAGCCTTCATTCTGACGATTTGTGGATTCATTTTCAAACAAGTAACAAAAATATTGGTATCTGCACAATAAAATATGTCACAACGTGGTGGAATCAGGCGCTCGTCAATTTTTGGGCATATGGAGTTTAGTTACTCGTAGAATCGTAAAGCTTGTTTGTCTTTCTTTCAGTGGAAAAAAATACCCATTTATCTTGAATAGAACTAAAGATCTTTGCGATTAAAGGAGATGAAAGTAGCCTATTTTCTGAGGTAAAATTTGTGAGAAAATGTCCGCCAAAGTTTGGAAACTTCTGTAGCTTTAGAGTCTTTGAAAATAAAAAATAAACATATTTTGTGCCATTAATCAATGTTTTTCAGTAAAATTCACAAGGAAATGTATCTTTATAAGGACATAAAAGGGGTTGAGCCAAAAAAAACAGAAATTCAACAAAAATTGCTAAACTGGAAGAAAAATGCCTGTTTCTTCGATTTCATTATTTTGATGAGCACCTGATTTTACCACGATTTCTCACAAAAAACATTTAATATAAATGTGACAGAACAGTCTCCTACGCAACAACATTTTGCAACAGAGAAAAACAAACAAACAAACAAACAAAGAGACAAAGAGAGTAGCAATCCTTTATCAAGCAGCACCATCCTCACCTTCTGCTCCTCTCCCTCCACGGTGGTCTTGCTAACGTGTGAGAGAATCGCGCCACACTTCTGACACACCACCGGGTCCCCGGCGTGCATGTTGCCCGGGGACAGAAGCGTGTTAAAGTTTACCGACACCACATTTGTGTCCGCTCGACGGAACCAGCGTTTGCCGCGAGCCTCAGCGGCAGCCCGGGCAGCAGCACCGGCTGGAGCTTGATCTACGGAGAGGAAAGAAATGTTTGTTTGTTTTTAGTTTTTGTAAGTTTTTAATTTAAAAATTTTTTTTTTTTAGTAAAAGTTTTACGGCGCTCGCAACAGCATAAAGTCATATTAGCGCGCTAAAAAAAGTTGGTTCTATTCGCAACAACTCACTGCAGAGCCCAATTCTGGTCAACACCTCTACAAGAATGCTAAAATACTAAAAATTTGATGTAAATAAATTCTTAATTTGAAATAACTTTTTAAATAACATGTAAAATTTTAAAACATGTCATTTACAATTCTTTATAAAAATCAATGTCATTGTTCCATGCCGGGACAGAAATCAGATGACAAATAAAAACAACTCATATATGAAGAAAAACTGTTTCTGTTTGTTCGTTTGTTTGAAATGCAGTGGAGTCCAGAAGTCCAGAGACCTGTTTGGTGTGAAACAAAATATTCAACACTGAAAATAGGATGCCTAAGTAGAGAACCTTGTGCTGAGACAGAGAAGCTCACCTTTAAAAACAGACCATTACGTTAAAATACTTCAGCTCCAGTTCCTAGAGTCACAGCTTGATGAAATACAGGGTGCCCACTACAGGTGGGATCGGCGGGTCAGGTCGATCGCCCGACTCGGTCGCCATGAATACAAACATGTTTGCGATAGCACAGACTCAAAAACAAATGCGTTTGTTTTCAGGCAACTGAGTTGGGCGATTGGCCCGACCCGACCTGCCGTAATGGGCAGCCCGTATAACCCGCCAACGAGAGCCGACTTACCACTAGCAGTACGTTGACGCTTCTCCGCAGACTCACTGGACACAGCCTTAGAGCCACTTTTCCAGTGGTGCGAACTTTTCGTCTTCATTTTCGGTTTCTTCTTCGGGCTCCTAAGGGCTGGAGGAGGTCATAGGAAAAATACACAGCAAATTTCAACAACCAAAAAAAATAATCCAGCAAAAATCAATCACAAGTAAAGCAATCCCAGCTTACAAAAGCTTTTAATAACAGTTAATTAACTTAATGTGGGTGGCTCTACAGTGACTGGAGAGCTTCCATTGCAAATAGCCACCTCCTAAGAATTACATGGGTGTTCTGCCCTGGTCACGCCGGGGTGCACGGAAATGAGCGTGTTGATGAACTTGCCGGCAAAGCAGCACCCAATGGCCTAAACATGCTCGACCCACCAATGGAGATCGCCAGATGCAAGGAGAGCCTTCACAACCAAGAGGAGACAGACTCCCATACACTCAGCGCAATAAAAGAAAAGGGTGTGCGGGGCACAGCGAAAAAAAGTTTGCTCTGAGGAGTGGTCAGGCGTGTCTCAAACCAGCTCCTCATGGAGACAATTAGCAGGAAGACCCTGAGGTGGACGCTCAAAGGGAGAGATGAGCAGCTATGGACATGTGCCGCCTGCTATGATTCTAGCTCTGGATCCAAGATAACTTAGTGATCCTGTAGCATACTCTACGATATCAAATAAGCGTCACCCCCGCTTATTAATTTTCTATTTTTTTGCGCACCCCCCACCGCTCCTTATTCCATACCCCCACTTTATTATTTTCCAGCTTCCTACGACCTACGATCATGTGAAACATTATATCTAGAATCGAGATATCTGAATGAAACTTCTATTATTTTTTGTTGTTGTAAATGGCAAATTACCCTCAGTATTTGAAATCAGTACCAGATTGGCTACCTCTATTTTCTGTGCTTTTTAAAAAACTTTTGTTCTTTGGTTTATATTTTTTAATGAAACTGGTTTGTTCCTAAATGGGAAAAGTTGTCACTGTGACTTACTAAAATCACAAAAATGTCACAATCTCTTGTTCTTTTAT